TCGAGGTGCGAATCGTCACAGCGAGGATAGATGGATGGGAGAAGACGGAGAGTGGAGTGGAGTGGAGTGGAGTGGAGCGAAGATGAGGTGAGGTGAGGAGAGGGAAGGTGAGGTGAGGTGAGGGGAGGGGAGGGGAGGGATGCTGGTGAGAGGACAGTGACGTGAGCATAGAGTGAAGGGTATGCATGGTCGTGGTGGTAGTCGCAGCGACAGTGAATGTGGAATGACGGTACTTGTGTTTATCACTATGACTGACGGTGCACCCAAGTGTTGAAAAATTGGTGCAACGTGATTGAGTAAACAAGGCGTCACATCATCCGGCTACTGGTTAGCCACCGACGGTGTTGGCGTCGTTGTCGTCGCCGCCGTCATCATCACCACCATAAGCATCACCGTTATCGGTGGCAGCACTTGCCACCTCAGGCAGTGGTGTTGACGACCAGACACCCAAACGAACAGAGGTGCTGCAAGGTGGAGGCAGGTGTTGAATGGTCGGTTGTGTGGAGTGGATGGGAGACGAAATGCGGATACTCACACCCGTCCCCTCATGTCGTGAGGTGAAGAGAGGAGGGCGTGTGGTGTTGTTTTGTCACGATGCGAGTGAAGAAGTGGCAGTGCGCGACGATGTGGTGTTGAAACGAGTGAATGAGGGACGCACTGATACTGATGTCCACGGGGAGGGCAAGAGAGGTGATGGAGGTGTGCGATCGGTGGCATCTGATCCCATTTCCCACCTCCTTCGTGAAGCCGTAGAGGCAAATGTGTCTACTTGTTGAGTGAGGAAAGGCGCTATGTTCTTTCAAGTCGTAACAATGTGTCCGCTTCATGAAAACTCATGAAACTCTGAGGTTTGCGTACTAATGTGATTGAAAACAAAACACTGCTTGTTTACGGTTCTTAAATGGTTTAAAGTTTGATTTGCAGTTGGCGGGCGCAACAGAAACACCTTAGACTAACTCAGGACCATGAATCAGGAGCCAAAGCATAATTGCAAAGATTAACCCCAAGCGCAAGGTGCCAAAAAATCCACAAGCACATAGGCGAAAAGTGTAGAATGCAAATGGAGTGCGCTACCGGTCGACAAAGGTGAAGCTATTTATTTTCAGCGCTTTACTCCAACTTTGTCGCAGCATTGTTACCATCCCTTCCCGTTCCAGTTGGTTGTTAATTTGTCCAAAA